AAAACCTCAAAAAAGGCTACTATGTACACTGCGTTCAATGAGTTGCTCCTCGAAGTCAAGTCGCAACTGTATTAACGGTGTTAAGAAAAAGGAAACAAACTTGCAAGACATTTTCGTCTTGCGAAGCAAGCCCATAGGGAAATTCGTCTTGCAAAGCAGCTCATAAAACGGAAAACCCTTTCGTCTAGCGAGTTTTCCGTCTTGCGAGGCATTCGTCTTGCGGGGCACCACTGTATTTACTTGCACTTTGACGTGCTTTCAAACTGCTAGGTTGGCAGGGGCTAGGACCGAGCAACGGGAGCTCACCCCATTGCGGGGATTTGAACCCCATCTGGAGGGCCGAGTTTGAGGAAGCCTGCTTTTAATATAGTTAATATAGTTGCATTGGATCCCTTTCCAACTCTGTAGTTCTTGATTCTCAATATTTCTGCAAGTGAAGCTATGGGTGTGGGTTCCCCCGAGGCAGTACCTCTTAAGGCCTTACAAAATCTTTCCTGCATTGTGAGAACATTCTGAGAAAAAGAGCTAGCCCCTGCCAACCTAGCAGTTTGAAAGCACACCAAAAAGTGCAAGTAGACAAATACGGTAGGAAGGTAAAACAGTGTTTCCATGCGCTCCTCTGGTTTCGGTGTTCCATTGCGCCAGAAGCAACTTAGTCATGCTGGCCACATGAGCCGGAAGCTGTCTGTGGACAAACGCCAGCTCCCTTGGCCTGTAAAGCAAGATGAGCTCCGCAACCCCAGAGTTGTCTGCAGCTGGATTTAACTGTCAATAGTCCTTTACCTTACAATTGGATAGTTACATGCACACTTCAGGCAAGCAAGTAGCATTATTCAGAGCTCAAAGGCACCAAACCACTCAAGTAGGGTGCAAAACAGGGCCACTGAAGGGTGTGACCTGGGAAGAGTCCTAAGAGCCAGAAGTAAAGGCTTGGAAAGTCTCCAGATCTTAGTTTCCATTTCCCTGGGCTAGAATATAGAAGCCCCATCATGAACTATTAACATATGGTTATATGATTTGTGTGTAACTTTCTGAGGTCAAAGGCCTGAGCTTTGACCTTACTGCAACTTCTTTATGCAACATTCAGGCAGGAAAAAATGTAGTTTGTGAATGCAACTCTCAGGCAGGAAGTCTTTTCCAATTTTGTTGCTGCTTCCTACTATGCTACCAGGAAGTTTGCAGTAGTTCTTTTTGCTGCTGCTTCCTCTTATGCATATAAACCAATATACAGTGGTACCTCGGGTTAAGTACTTAATTCGTTCCAGAGGTCCGTTCTTAACCTGAAACTGTTCTTAACCTGAGGTACCACTTTAGCTAATGGGGTCTCCCGCTGCCGCCTCTTGATTTCTGTTCTCACCCTGAAGCAAAGTTCTTAACCTGAGGTACTATTTCTGGGTTAGCGGATTCTGTAACCTGAAGCGTCTGTAACCCGAGGTACCACTGTACCTGATATAGGCATTGTTCTGAACATTATTGTCTGTGTGGAATCAGTGGCACTAAATTAGGACTTTGTCCTTTTCCTGGTAAGCCCGTAACCCATCACTTATCCAGGATGACCAGTAGGCTATAGGGTTTTATTTGCTACATTTACATGCCATCTTTCTTCCCATGGTGGAAATAAAGGAAGAATATGTAGGATTCCCTCACAGTGCTCCATCCACACACTCACCCACCCTGGGCCTGGTCGGCTTCATCAATAATATCACATCATGTATCTTCACACCATGCTGCTGACTGTTACAGTTGGCATTCCTCTGGCTGGCCTTGGCTGTTTACCTGCCAAACTGGCTGTAGAGTTGTGCTGGCTGTGTTTAGTCTTTAAACCTCTGAGTAAGCTTGTGTCTGTGGGTGTTGCTGCCCTCCTGACTGATGAGTCATGAAGATCTCTAATGAGGGGGGACACTATGGCTGGGGTCCCCAACATGGTGTCCATGACACCATGCTTCCCTCAGACACCCTGATTGGTGCTTACCAAGGCCACTGGGTACATCCAGTTTTTAATCTTTGTAAGAGAACATCAAGCAAATAAGGACAGCTTTTGGATGAGTTGAGTATTTTGCTTGTTTGGTGGAAAAGGTTCTGCACACCACCAATTTTTCTTCCACGAAATGGGTGTTTTGTGGTGCAGTTCTTAGGTCTTCAAATGGGCATCCTACCCCCCCCAAAGTTGGAGACTCCTGCTCACACAATGGGCTCTCCTTGATAACATGCCCATGGCACAAGCCAGCAGGGCTTTGTAAGTGACAAATCTGTCACTTCACTCTCCTATTGTTGTCCCCATTAGCAAATACTAATGCTATCTGCTTTTTTTGCTTAGAGAGCAAAAAAACCTTGTTGTTGTTTAGTCATTTAGTCGTGTCCGACTCTTTGTGACCCCATGGACCAGAGCACACCAGGCACCTCTGTCCTCAAAAAAAACAAAAAAAACCTAGTAGATAACTATTTAAATAATGTAAGAATTGCTTTTTGTTATCATTGTTTTCTCAAAAAAGTTTGGAGTTTTAAGAAATGAAACTAGGAAACATGGTAATGCCTTAAGATGAAGTTTGAAATTTAAGAGTCTTATAAGAAAAAACAGTATGCACAATACAAGGTATTTAAACTATAAGATTTTGGCCATTTCAGTTTCTGTTAAAATGAGTGCCATGGTGTCTCTTAACACAATAACTTTTGGACATCAACGAAGCTGAATGTTGGAAGATTCGGATAAAAGAAAGTCCTTCATACAGTGCATAGTTAAAATGCAGAACTTGCTTCCACATGAGGCATTGAGGCCACCAATTTAGACAGCTTTAAAAGAGGATTAGACAAATTCAGGGAAGAGGGCTATCAAACGCTATCAGCCCTGATGGCTGTACTCTGCCTATAATATCCTATCAGCCCTGATGGCTCTACTCTGCCTATAATATCAGTTGCAGGAGGGTTTCTCAGAATGTTCTCACCCTGCAGGGAAGATTTTATAAAGGCCTTAAGAGGTACCGCCTCGGGGGAACCCACACCCATAGCTTCACTTGCAGAAATACTGAGAATCAAGAACTACAGAGTTGGAAAGGGATCCAATGCAACTATCCAGATCAACCCACCAAGCCTTCAAGGATATATTAAAAGCAGGCTTCCTCAAACTCTGCCCTCCAGAAGGATTGAGACTACAGTTCCCATCATCCCTGACCCCTGGGCCTGCTAGCTAGGGATCATGGGAGTTGTAGGCCAAAAAACATCTGGAGGGCAGAGTTTGAGAAAGCCTGATTAAAAGCAACTAGAGAGGAAGCCCCTGCTTCTATAATTTGCTCATATTGCCTCTTGCTGCCCTCTGCTGCCACCTGGAGGCTGGTTAAGAAATAATGAGCCAGTTCCGATCGCAACTAGTGCCTGCTTAAAGGTGGGTCAATGAGTTCTAGTGTAATGAGAATCAACAATTACAGTTATTTCTGTTGTTGCTGCAATCAGCTGAATGCAACAATATTCCCTTCCATGCATTAAAATCTTCTGAGGAGGGTTTCCACCCTACCCTACCTCCACAAGTGGCCCCACTAGCAAAGGCAGGCCAAGGGTTGATCCTAGAGCAATTTCAGTTGTTTGCTAGGATGCTTACTCTCTTAATATGTACTCCCAGATACAAGTGTCATAATGTCAGGAAACTTGTGTATTAGATAGAGGTAAGAAAAGGATCACCTCCCATCACCTCCTGGCAAATAGAAGGGGAAGAAATGGAAGCAGTGACAGATTTTACTTTCTTGGGCTCCATGATCACTGCAGATGGTGGCAGCAGTCACGAAATTAAAAGACGCCTGCTTCTTGGGAGAAGGGCAATGACAGGCCTAGACAGCATCTTGAGAAGTAGAGATGTCACCTTGCCAACAAAGGTCTGTATAGTTAAAGCCATGGTTTTCCCAGTAGTGATGTATGTAAGTGAGAGCTGGACCATAAAGAAGGCTGATCGCCGAAGAATTGGTGCTTTTGAATTCTGGTGCTGGAGAAGACTCTTGAGAGTCCCATGGACTGCAAGAAGATCAAACGTATCCATTCTTAAGGAAATCAGCCCTGAGTGCTCATTGGAAGGACAGATCGTGAAGCTGAGGCTCCAATATTTTGGCCACCTCATGAGAAGAGAAGACTCCTTGGAAAAGACCCTGATGTTGGGAAAGATGGAGGGCACAAGAAGAAGGGGATGACAGAGGACGAGATGGTTGGACAGTGTTCTCGAAGCTACAAACATGAGTCTGACCAAACTGCAGGAGGCAGTGGAAGACAGGAGTGCCTGGCGTGCTCTGGTCCATGGGGTCACGAAGAGTCGGACACAACTAAACGACTAAACAACAACAAGAAAAGGATAGCTACGGAATATTAAGGTGTGTGATTGCTGCTCAGAGTCAGAGCTCCAGTTGTGTGCAATCTACCATATTTTTCACTCTATAAGACGCACCAGACCACAAGACGCACCTAGTTTTTGGAGGAGGAAAACAAGAAAAAATATATCCTGAATCTCAGAAGCCAGAACAGCAAGAGGGATCGCTGCGTAGTGAAAGCAGCAATCCCTCTTGCTGTTCTGGCTTCTTGGATAGCTGCGCAGCCTGCATCCGCTCCATAAGACGCACACACATTTCCCCTTGCTTTTTAGGAGGGAAAAAGTGAGTCTTACAGAGCAAAAAATACGGTACTTGGTGTGAATTGCTGCTAGTCCACAGAAACTAGCAGACCAAGAAGTGGGTGTTGTATCTGCTGTTGCCCCCAAAACAGAGCTGTGCTATCCCTAAACAAGAGGTGATTTGAAAAGTCGGGGACTACAGCTTGGTAGCAGGCAGAGCCAGGACCAAAAGATGGTGAGTTTGCAGCATTACATAGCTCCTTCTCTCTGTGTGCCACCCCATTCGGTCTCTTACATTTCCTTTCCTCTCTCACACACAGCAAAAGAGGATATGCTTCTCAGAGGCCCGTTTGGAGACCAAAAAGTGGATCTACAGTATCCAGAGAACAAGGTGGCACTGAGGGTACATGTGAAATTTAGTCAAGGCATTGTTTTTACTTCTTAGAACAAAATTTATATACCCTAGAATTGTAGTATAAAACTTCTGCAATTGGTTTTTGGGCTTTAAACCCTGCGATAGGATGTACTTTTTACCATCCTGCGCAACAGTTGCCTAAAGGACCCCTTGAAAGCATTGTTAAAGATGGGAGTTGTACCCAACTAAGTTTTACTCAAGAGTAGACCCATTGAAATTAATGGTCCCAAGTTAGTAGTAGTCATTCATTTTATTGGGTCTACTGTGAGTAGGACTACCACTGGATACAAAGCAGGATGTTAAATTACTTCGGCAATTCATAGAATTTTGTAAAACCATAGTTCAGGGCATCCTGATCAAAGCAAAAGTCTGAAAATTTAGCCTTTTATATTTCTCGCATGAAACCTGTGACATAATGGCCATTTCATAATATCAGAGTAAATACAAGCAGTAGGAGACAGTGGGCACAGAAAACTGAATCCCAGTGTATTTTAACTAAAACCATCTGAGGGAACTTGGTGTTATTTCTGAAGGAGGTGGAGACGTATACAGTCTTGTTACCCAAGAATTAGATCTTCAGAAAGTTTGAGGGATATCTCTTAGGAGGCCACATTCTGAACATAAAATGGTTCCTGAACTAAATTTTGAGTTTAAATTTAATAGTTGGCCCCCAATAGTAATGTTGTGAAACATTATTCATCAGTGGATTTGGCTTTTCAGGATATGGGCCTGATTTGCTTTCTGCCTATATGTTTTATGTTTCTGTGTTTATAAGGACAATTGGACAACGTCCAAGTATTTCGCCCAAACCAATCTTTAGTTCCTATCACAACACCATTAAGACACCCACATCGCACTCATTTCCTACCAAGAGGCCAAAGTACAAGATACCCCCCTGGGAAATGAGAAAGTCTGTAATGTGGGCTTTTAACAGAAGTCTGTAATGGCTTTTAACAAATACCACAAACTCGGAGCTTTCTGACTTCATTGTACATGAAAGAATGACCTTGATGCTTCATCGGGCTGGCATTTTACATTCAGCAGCTGAGACACAACTACAGTTTACCGTTCCCGTGGCGATGGCTAGACTGTGACATATTTGCAGAGCAATGATGTCATAAACGCCATGCTGGAATACAGCCAGGACACCAGTTGCTTGCTCCTTAATGCAAACTTCTGGCCGGGGCTTGCAAGACCAATTTTTTTTCCCCTGACGAGTGCCCTTTATTGAAGGCTGTACTCGTCGGTTAATATGGTTTAATGCCTACTCATGGCAACCCTCTGCAACGCCCTGGAAGCTGTAAGGCGAGATTTAAGGCGAACCGACAGAGAAATAAAGAAGCGCTTAAGGCTTATGGACATGAGTTGCTGCCCTAAATCCTGCGAAGTCCAGGCAACCTGCCTTTGTGATATAAGTCTCCACCCACATTGCTGCTGTCTTCTCCACCCCTACCCACACTGCCTGTGTGACATACTATGCTGTCGTCCCTGTAGACCGCCTTGCCTCACACCTTTGGAGCGTAAAGCTATCAGGGCTAAGATAGAAGCTGAGCAAGAACTGGCCAGGTAAACGGGTTTCTCCAGTTTGTCGCTTGAGTAATTATTTAAGGTGTTAATTGTTAAGGTGTTAAAAGGAGCAGGGTGGAAGCAATGGGGAGTGCATTTGTTCCTGTGTATCTAGTTCTGTAAAGGGACGCGGGTGGCACTGTGGTCTAAACCACTGAGCCTAGGGCTTGCGGATGAGAAGGTCGGCGGTTCGAATCCCCACAACAGGGTGAGCTCCTGTTGCTCGGTCCCTGCTCCTGCCAACCTAGCAGTTCAAAAGCACGTCAAAGCGCAAGTAGATAAATAGGTACCGCTCCAGCGGGAAGGTAAACGGTGTTTCCGTGTGCTGCTCTGGTTCGCCAGAAGCAGCTTAGTCATGGTGGCCACATGACCCGAAAGCTGTCTCCGGACAAACGCCAGCTCCCTCGGCCAGTAAAGTGAGATGAGCGCCACAACCCCAGAGTTGTCCACAACTGGACCTAACAGTCAGGGGTCCCTTTACCTTTATCTAATTATGTAATTTGACTGCTGCAGCAATAGATGTCCTACAAAAGAGGGAAAGGAAGCACATTTGCAGTTTCCAGGTCTGTTTTAAACTGGGTCCTTCTGCATGTTGCTATTTTATTGCTTATTTGTTAAATCTGTATACTACCCTATACCCATAGATCTCAGGGCGGTTCAGAACATAAAAGTTATTTAGGAGGTCACCAACTTGGATGGAGCCAAGCCCTGCCACCCTCCCCCCCCCCGCCTTTTTTTTTTTTTAAAGATTCAGAATAAAAAAAGAAGAGATGAACTGCTTCTTCACAGAGTGGTGTAGTTAAGCTGTGGCATTTGATCCCACAAGATGCAGCGATTGCCACCAATTTGGGCGGCTTTAAAAGAGGATTGGACCAATTCATGGGGGATAAGGATATCTGTGGCTACCAGTCATGATGGCTATGCTCTGACTGCCCTTGAAGGCCACACTGCTCCTGAATATCAGTTGCTGGAAAACGCAGGAGGGGAGAGGTGCTCCTGCGCTTGAATTCTGCTTGTGGGTTTCCCATCGGCAGCTGGTTGGCCATTGTGAGACCAGATGGGTCATTGGCCTGATCCAGCAAGCTCCTCTTGTGCTCTTAGAAGTGGTACAGTGGTACCTCGGGTTACAGACGCTTCAGGTTACAGACTCCGCTAACCCAGAAAGTGTACTTCGGGTTAAGAACTTTGCTTCAGGATGAGAACAGAAATTGCACAGCGGCGGAAGCGGGAGGCCCCATTAGCTAAAGTGCCACCTCAGGTTAAGAACAGTTTCAGGTTAAGAACAGTTTCAGGTTAAGAACGGACCTCCAGAACAAATTAAGTTCTTAACCCGAGGTACCACTGTATGTACTTTTAAAGCCTGTGGAGGCACCAAAGCTTTGGAATGCCCTCTCAAGAGAAGTACACCAACAAAGACACTATTTCAGGCATGTCGGTTTAATCTGGCCCCCGTGGCAGTTTGTCTCCTGGGGTAACAGCTCAACAACTTTGGTTGTTGTTCATTTCATCTGGTCCTGTTTGAAAAAATTTTGGGCCCCCCTGTTGTATTTTCTCCCAGGCGTGAGGTTGCAGTCGTTTGTACTCCATCAACATTTATCAAGAGGAGACCCATTGAAATTAGTAGCCATCGCTAATGGGCCCATTCATGGGGTTCTGCTCTGAGTGAACGTTGGCTGAATACAACCCAATCTTTTTATTCGCCTCAGGCACTCTCCTTCTCCAGCAGAGTCCACTCTACCCTGCGACTGGCTTATCCGCACCAGGGGTGAGCAATGGCTACATGAGGTTGCAGAGTGCTTCTAGGTGGGCATTCATTGGAGGATCTGGGGATCTCACGCATGCACTTCCTTTGTAGTGTCTGCACAACGTAGTTAGCATCAAAATGCCAGCGGGGTATTCCCCACTTAATCTGGATTTACCCATTTATCAGAAAATCCCTTAAGTTTCTCGTTTGTTTGTTTTTAAAATGTTGGCAATGACCAATTGCAGTACAAAGCCCCTGGGATAATTCTTCCCAAAGCATGGGATAATCTCCCCTTCAATGCAACTTTTAGGACTCAGCTACATTAGTCAAAAAACAGTGCTTTGAATGCGTTATAAACATGCAGCACCAGATGACGCTAGAGAGCAAAAATATTTTATTTGCCATTTTCCATAGGGTCCCCCCCTTTTTGTTATAACAATTTAATTTCTGACTTTTTTATAGCATTTTTTCCTGTGTGTAGCTGGCTGGCCCCTGTGGGAACAGAATGCTAGACTAGTTGGCCTTTGGTCTGATCCAGCAGGCCTTGTTACTATCACAACAGTCAAACAATAAATAAAACATATCAAGAAGCACACAACGAGGTTTATCAATTTCCACATAAATCTTAACAAGGTCTAAAAATAACAATTGCAGAAAATTAATATCAATAATAGCAACAAGAAACCCCAACAAAAAAAACAACTAAATAATCCCCCAGCCCAATAATTTGTTCAGCAGCCTCCACTTTTGTAGTTGGAGTCAGTCAAGGCCCCACCCTCCCAAGCCAGGTGGGAAAAACCAGCAAGGCAGGGGGCAGGTCTTCCAGGACTCACAGCCAAGATGGTCTCTGGCTGCATATAATTTGAGACTCATATAAGCACAGAAGTGAGTGTGGCCAAAATACATACTCCTCAAATAAATTCAAGGAATGACCCTACCTCACAGGGTAGGGTAAGGAATGCCATGTATGTTGTCATGAGATTCTTGGCAGAAGGGTGCACTACAAATATGTAATGACCTGGCCTGCCACTGCGTCATTTATCATTGAGCATGTTCACGTTTCAGCAAATCTGAAAGTGGTGTTTGGATTTCTATTGTAAGTGGAATAAAAGAGCCATGTTCATGGTTCCTTTTGTGTGCTTGTATACCACTTTTCTCCTGCCAACCTAGCAGTTCGAAATAATGTCAAAGTGCAAGTAGATAAACAGGTACCGCTCCGGCGGGAAGGTAAATGGCGTTTCCATGTGCTGCTCTGGTTAGCCAGAAGCGGCTTAGTCATGCTGGCCACATGACCCAGAAGCTGTACGCCGGCTCCCTCGGCCAATAAAGCAAGTTGAGCACCGCAACCCCAGAGTCGGTCACGACTGGACCTAATGGTCAGGGGTCCCTTTACCTTTATACCACTTTTAGTCACCAGGTAACTTCAGAACAGTTTCCATAATAAATAAATCCATGGGCAATATCCAGCAAAATATTTCCATTAGCACAAAGACTTCTGACTGTGCAATAAAATATAGCTCATTTGGCCGAGCAGTAGACTCTTAAATCAAGGTCGTGGTTTCAAGCCCCACATTAAGCAAAATATTCCTGCATTGCAGAAGGTTGGACTAGATGACACTCATAGTCCCTTCTATAATAAAAGATAACCCCCAAGCTCAAAAACAGTCTAACCATAGCCTGTGACAGCTAGAGAAAGAAAGTGTTTCCAGCAGGTGATGGAAAACCCCATCTGTGTTGTGTCTGCTCTTGACTCCACGAAGAGGGAGCTCTGCAGAGAAGGCTCTACTCCAGGTCCCTTCACAATAAGAGATGTCCATTGGTGGATCCACAAGCAGGGCCTTCCCTGCTGATCTGAGGGGTGAGGGAGGGGACATTGATAAGTGCTGCTCCATCAAATCAAATACCCAGGATCCTATGTCATTCAAGAGCAGGGATGGCAAACCTGCAAGTTTCTATTTTTCCCCCAATCTTACATTTGAATCACTTTGTGATATATTTTTTAAAAAAAGGTTCTCGTGAAAATTTATCATCATTTTAGTGTGAATTTCTCCTAATGAACACATTTTTATGCATTTATGTGTGTTATTTTCACATATACGTGCATTTCAATGCACACTTTACCCTAGTATATTATTTTTTTGTACACATTACTGGAGAGTGGCATTGCAAAATTTGGAGAAGTGTGAATTTTGAAGGATGGCTTTCCTTCAGCACTTGTTTCCAACTGTGTATTCCTTTTCTACATAGCCACATTTCTTTATGTGTCTTCCTTTTAACTATCCCTAGATTGCAAGCTTTTTAGTATGCTTACAAAATGTCCTGCATTAGATAGTGTTTATATATTTATCTCCTATATATAAGCTAATTGCCAAATGGCACCTTCAGCCTTAGTTACAGTCACTACAATGGAATGTCTAGGCTCCTCTTTTTTGTAACTATTTTTCATTTTATTTCCATATCACTTTATTTTTTTTAAAAAAAAAAAAGGTCTCAAAGCAGTTTTCATTGAAACATTCAATAAAACAATCTAGAATAAAACAAATGCAAGCTTCAAGGAAAATATTTCCGATCCCTCTCTAAGGGACATTTTGCTTTCCCCAAATTTATTTACCTCCTTCATTTATATAGCTGTCCCATAGCAGAAGTACTCTAGGAAGCCAGTGTGGTGTAGTGGTTAGAGTGTCGGATTAGGACCTGGGAGATCAGGGTTCAAATCCCCACTCAGTCATGAAGCTCACTGGGTGACCTTGGGCCTGTCACGGCATCTTCACCTACCTCACAGGGTTGTTGTTGTACGGAATTAACTATGCACTCCTTGAAGAAAAAAGCTGGGATCTAAATGCAAAAAATAAGCTCTTCAGCTTATTTGCTTAAGAAAGCTGGAGGGGCCAGCCAGATGGAGATGTCAGCCACCAACCTGGCATCCAGAGATCTCCACATAGTCGCAATTGGACCCATGCCAGTTGCAAAACGCACCTGGCGCCTGGCTTGTTTCTAACACTGCACACACACACACACACACACAGAGAGAGAGAGAGAGAGAGAGAGAGAGAGAGAGAGAGAGAGAGAGAGAGAAGGCCACTGGCAAATGATTAGAGTCTAATGTTGCAGCAAACATCACAGATTTGTCACTGTCCAGTTCTACCAACACAAGGATATAGATGAGTTCAACCCTGTGGCATTTCCTGTGAACTGGTACAAGCTGATGTACTGTATTGCAACCATTTGGTTTCCACTGTCACATAATGTCAATCCACCGACACAATGTACCGTTGAATCATGCCTATTTATCAACAGATTTAGCCTCATCCTGTATTTTAATACTTTGTTGTCTTTTAATACCACTTGTATTTTAATACTTTGTTGGAAGCTGCCCAGAGTGGCTGGGGAAACCGACTCTGGGGTTGCGGCGCTCATCTCGCTTTATTGGCCGAGGGAGCTGGCGTACAGCTTCCGGGTCATGTGGCCAGCATGACTAAGCCGCTTCTGGCGAACCAGAGCAGCGCACGGAAACACCGTCACAGGGATTCGAACCGCTGACCTTCTGATCGGCAAATCCTAGGCTCTGTGGTGGTTTATTATTATTATTATTATCATCATCATCATCATCATCATCCTGTGTGCGGGATTCCGGCCGCTTGAAGCACCTTGGCTCGTTCTTCTTTCCTATGTTATTATCGTAACCATTATTACTACTGCTGTTGCTATTATTTTGCAGAATTCGAAGAAGGATCACTAAGATGATGGCAGCATGTAGCCGCCCCAAGCTGCTGGCTTTAATGGACGTTAAGGGTTTCGACCCGGAAGACATTACAGTGAGGGTACAAGATGGGAAAGTCAAAGTGTCGGCTGAGCACGAGGAAGAATTTAAGACTTGCAGAGGGAAGGAGTACAACTACTCCACCGTCACCAAGGAGATCTGTTTGCCACCAGGGGTGTGTGAGAACGAAGTCACTTATACCATCGGACCCTGCAGTCTCGTGAGGATAGAGTCCCCAGGCTGTGTCCCTTCCTGCCTGCTTAGCCTGCTTTGAAGTAGACACTGGATGATCAGCTCTGGCAGCTGTTCAGCATCTGGATGCGACCTCAGTGGATCCTAAGGGGAATGGTTGTGTTTGGGTTCTTTTCTCTCTCTCTTTTTTAATATCGCCCTTTAAACGTGTTGCTGTCCATGCGAACCTTCTTCCAACAACGACAATGCTGAGCATCTGCTGGTTTTTCTGCGTTTGTTTTTATTTCCAAGTTGTGTTTTAAAGGGCGTCTTCATAGCTGGTCACTGCCACAGGAGGGGGAATGCAGTGCTGGATTATCGAATAGGCACAGGCGTATAGGCTCCACGCCTTTTAGGGAGCCTGCGGCAATGGATCAAAATAATATTGGTCTTGAAAGAAAATTGCAATCAAGCTTTCTTAGTTCAGTGTGAGGCCCCCCAAGATTTTGACTGCCTAGTGGCCTCTACAGGGTTTAATCCAGCACTGGGGAATGCCATTCCTGTTTATTTTTAGCCGCGGAGCTGGAAATTATGGGGAGGGACCCTCGCTCGGTAGTAGAGCACATGCTTTGGGGATCAGGTAGCAAGGGATGGGGGAAGACGCTGTGCTTGAGATCCCTGGAAAGCAGCAGCGAGTCAACGTACAGTTCAGAGCTTGATGGACTAAATAGGCTGACCTGGCAGGAGACAGGTTACTCTGCCCCTGAGCACTTAAACTTGTAGTTTCTACCACAGTAAAAACAGAAAAAGCACCATTCCACATGGAGGGTTTTTTAACAATCCAGCACTATACAAATTAAATAAATACATCTTTACATCTGTCTTTATTAGATTTATATACCGCACTTCAGCATAAGATCTCAGGGCAGTTCACAGAATAAAACAAACCAGCAAAACAAGAACACCCCTTTCCCACAGAATATTAATTGGCCCAAGGCCTGGTTGCAGAGGATCATTTTCGGCAGGTTCCTAAAAATATATAATGAAGGCACCAGGCGAAAGTCCCTGGGGAGAGCATTCCACAAATGGGGAGCCACTACAGAGAAGGCCTAATCTTCTGTTGCCACCCTCCGGAGGAGGCATTCAAAGAAGGACATCTGATGCTGAACGCAGTCTGGGACGGCTTATAATAATAAATTGGAACTGGTAGGACAGAAGTCAGGGAGACCAACAGTAACATACCCTCCAACATTACTCTGACCAAAATTGGGATGCGCGTCTTTTGGTGCCTTGGTCTTGTGCGAGAGAGCAGCAGCACTGCAAACGCCAGCGTATGCTCGTCCCTGGGACATTCTGGCTTCATATCAGAGGCCGGGATGGCTTCTGTAATTCTGGGAATGTCCCTGGCAAATAGGAACAATTGGAAGGTATGCAGTATGGGGAACCAGAGCCGATGACACACAGAGGCTATCCTCCCTGCTGAGTTCTATAAGGGGTATCCCTGAGGAGGAAGCTAACAGGCCATGCCTTGCCCTGGGCTGGTTATAAGAAGCAAGCAAATGGGGCCTGGTTGAGGTTGACGGGTCACTGCCCCATTTGTCCTGAAGGATCAGCCGCCACTCAACGTAGAAGGCTCTTTCCTAGTTGATGGGAAGGACTTGGCCCAATTGAATTGTAGGGTTGCCGGTGATAGTATGTAAAGGCTTAACAGAACGACAGGGTCACTTTGTTTGGAAATTAGAAACATGGCTGAAATATCTGTTCAAGATCTGCACACCGCAGTTGCCTAGCCTACTCAAAAGAAAATATGCAAATATTAAAGACTCCATGTTGCAATCGAGAGTTGCCATAAGAGCCTTCAGCACACAGAATAGGAAGCTCTCGCCTGAAGTCCTTGTTGATCCTGCCTTGGCCAAAGCAGCAGACTACATTGCTGAGTCTTAAATAAGAGCACACTTCTAAAGGAAATCGTATGGTTCATTCATGTTTTGGAAAGTGTTTATCATTGTTCTCAACATCTAAAGTGTACTTTGTCCAATTAGTGTGAACAAGGGTTCTGAGCTAAAAAGAAAAGTACAAGCTATAAAATCCATGTCATTGCTTATTCCCTGGTTTTTGTTCAGCTTCCGAAGGCTGCTTCCTACATAATGAGTTCTGGAAATAATATATGTGCTGGAGATTGTACATTAAGCCACTTGTATTTGCGTTGCTACATGAATACACAATCTTAGGCCGTTAGCAGCAATCCTGATGGAGAAAAATATTCCCTTGCATGGCAGGCAGCACAGATGTGGAACCTTTTTATAAATAAGCTGTACATAGATGTCTAAATTGGTGTCCTGTTATTGCGAGGACTGGTGTAAAGATCTTAATTAGCTGAAGTTTATCTTTGGGGAACGGTAAACACGCCGTAATCCTTGACGATTCTTCACAGTTTTCAGTTTTAACTTGGAAGAATAAACCTCATCCTTGGGGCAGGGGGAAGCTTGGTGCAAATAAGCCACGCAATACAAAAAGGGGGTGGGTGGGAAAGAGAATGTCATATTTACATCAAGCAATTCATCCTATGCCATCTGGATCCACTGCAGGTACTTTGCCCATGCCACCCGAAAAAGTGGACAGGTGCTATCTTATCAGCACCTGCCTCTGCTGAGAAACTTGCTTGTTCTATTTGAAAGTGGTTGCAGATATTCTAGGTCAAAGATGGGAAGCCTGTGTTCCCCGCAAACACTTTTTGCACAGCATGGCCAGTGGTCAGAGATGGTGGGAGTTGAAGCCAAAAACATCTGGTTCCCCATTCCCTGCTCTTCAGGCTTAAAAGAGGCACTGGAAGAAACTTTTACCACTAGGTGGCATATATTTGTCTAAAGTAAGACCTCATTGTGTCTATTTATATCTTACTGGCAGGTGAAATTTCACAGGCTGAAATAAGCACAGCCTGAAATGACCCCTGCTCCCTTCCCATATCAGGCTAATGTTGGCACTGGGTATTGATTTTCCCTAAGTGGGCCACGGATACTTCGGAAACATTAAACCACTCCAAACTACTGTGCAACTCCCTGCTTATCCCATGTGCTGCTAGATGAACAGTGAGAACAAAATCATCCCCAGCCTTCATTCGCACGCATATACGGACATCATACTTTCAGATAGCACAATGATTTTACCTTCTGCCATCCTATATGCTAAGAGTGAACCCATTCTCCAAGTGTGGATCTTTGTATAGCCAAACCAGCACCATCCATACACAAGTTATTGGCAGATTTGGGGGAATCCCAAGGTTTGCAACAAACTTATTATTTTTTATGAAGGAGAGGACCCCCACAGAGGATCCTAAGGAGGACTCGGCATGCTCAGTAGTCACCAAACACTAACTCACTTTATTTAGGGAGGAGAGTTAACAGGAAACCAGGGGATGGAGATTTAATGGTGTATCCTAAAGAGCATGTCTGGATGGTTGGAATCCTGAACAGAAGCCCTCCACGCTGCAACATTTTGCTGCAGGTTCGGCTTGTACTATTCCCAGTGCTTTTTTTCTGGGAGGACGCAGGGGGACGCATACCCTTAAACATTTTGTGGATTTTTGTACTTTTGTCCATTTACTGTATTTGTTTCCCCCCAATTTGAACTATAAAATGGTGGTTTTCTTGAGTCAAAATGAGAGTATCCCTAAACATTTTTTTTAAAGAAAAAAAGCACTGACTGTTCCTAATTATAAATGCAGAACAATCTCTATACCAGTGGCCTGTCCCCCCAGGTTTCTTCTGAGGAAGAACCCCACATGTTCTTCTCAGTCAGCTGTTTTTAATATATTAATTGATATAGAAATTTAATAATTGGATAATCATGCTCACATCAGCCCTCATGGCTCCCCACTGGCCAGTCCTCAACATCACTGCATACTGTCAGCTAAAACCTCGGAACCAATTGCTCTTTTTCCTTGGCCAGTGAATTTGCATGCTTGGTTCCTATTGGTGATGAAGATTCCTCAAGAAGCTGGATGCACAAAGTTGCACACCATAAAATAATGTGTAACCCATCCAACTGGTGTTAACATTAAAAAGTTCCAAACAAATGTAAACATCTAAAATGGCAACTTACGGTATATAATTATGGCAGCAGGTAAAAACAAATACAGTGCTTGCTTACGTCAGTCAACCTCATTAGTGGAAGTGGTTTATTTTTTTTTAAAGTGAGGCCAGGGTCATTGGGGTAAGTTTAAACTACAATGCTGAACCAAAATTCCCTTAAAAAAATATTTCCCAAAGCCTCAACAGTTTTGAATCAGGGTCGCCGCATTGGCAAATGGTTTTCTGGCTCAAACGCTGTTTAATTCTGCAAGAATAGTTATTAATCTATTTTAACAAACTAAGTCTTGATGACCTCAACCTTCTGATAAACTCCTCAGCAAAGCTGATAAAACCTCTCTCTGTTATCAGTAAGCAACACCAACAATAGCACAACCGATAAAAGTATGACTTCGCTCCACTAGTGAGGTTAAAGATTACGAAATGACAACATATCCAACAGGAGAGCGCTTGGAGCATTATCAGGGGCGGTTAGAAATACATTTCAAAGTACCGTATTGGCCTGGATATAAGACGCACTTTTATTCCAAATTCCAACCGTGAAAAGTTAAAGTGCGACTAAATTCGCGACCTTACAAAAATGGGCTTTTACCATATCGCCGCTGAAACAGACATATGGTAAAACGGAATGGGTGTGAGTGCCTGCAGAATTTTAAGAGAACGGCTTATATTTCAGGTTATTGTGGGCATCCTCCCCCCCCCCCCGAATTTTAAAGGAGCAGCTTATTTTCGGGTGCGGGTTATATTCTGGCCAATATGGTACTTGTGGTTAAGGTCATTTAAGGAGACACTATCAGCTAGTAGTCTCCAGTTTCATGCATGAGCCTGTCTGTTTAGGAATTTTCATCTATTGCTATGTCATTACTGGGATGCAGGCAATGTGGACAATTTGATGTGTGGATGTTTCTCTGAGGCTATGTCCACATTAATATTTGCTATGGCTCTTGTGAGCTCCCACCACTGGTATTTGAAGCTAGTTACACATTAGCCACAATCCATATCTCTTCTGTACTTCCTTAAGAGACAGTGCTGTTTGATGCACTTCCCCCCCAAACCAGCTTCCCTCAGATTTCAAAATGTAAGCTACCTTCACTTCACAGTAAGTTGAGGTATGTACACTTGAGACGGCATTTGCCTCTGCACAGAGTACAGGAGGGTTGCCGTGGTGGGGAATCCAAATAAGGAATGTGCAACAGTGAGGACATCCCGGTCCCCTGTCTGGTGTGTACAGCAATGTGCAAATCCAACTTGAAATGCAGATCTTATTGCATTCTAAGGCACTAATGTCTACATAACATTAGAAACTGTTTGCAATTAAATATATATAGCATTTCAATATCTGAACTGTAGTCTGAAAGTGAGTGTGGGTGCCATACAAAGTTCATGCAAAAT